CCCGTCCCGTGAAGAATTTAAAAAAAAAATAAATCAATTTTCTAACCCTACTATACTTCAACAGTTATTATGGCCGAATTCATGGTTATGGGCCACAAAGCCCACAACCCCCTCAAATGTTGTAGTTATTAAACCCATTGGCCAGTGAAATATGAAATGCACAAGTCACAACAGCAGGACAACACAAGTCGTAAGCGGTGGCCGGTAAGCTCGTGATATTGTTGCTTATTGGACAGCTACGCCAAAGTGATATGAAAAATTTAAACTCTTTGCACGTCAATTGAAAATTGATTGTGAGAAAAAATTGGTGCTTGATTGTAAAACAATGTCGAATTCCACATACTTGATGCTTCGTACTGCTTTGATTTATAAGGATGTTTTTCTTCGTTTGAAACAGAGGGAGTCACAGTATAAATATTTGCCTAGTGATGGTAATTGGGATTTGACAAAAGAAATATGTGAGAAGTTAAAGGTTTTTTTTGAGGTTACTGAATTGTTTTTAGGAACAAAGTATCAAACAGTTAATCTCTTCATTGCAAATATTTGTGATATCAAACTGTTGTTGTATGAGTGGTTTGAATCTCCTTGTGTGGAAGTTCAAATGATGGCCACCAGTATGATGGAAAAGTATAACAAATATTAGAGTGATATTCATGGAGTTTTGGCTTTAGCAACAGTGTTGGATCCAAGTTATAAGATGATGTTAGTTAAGTACTATTATTCTCGTATTTTTAATTACAACGATGCAAGCGAGATTGAAAAAATTTATCAAGTTTGTAGCAAGTTGGTGCATGGTTATCAGAAAAAGAATGATTCAAGTGAGTCTGCAGTTCAGTCTTCTACTTTTTGTCAAATCGAGATGTCAAGAGCTAATAATAAATCAGATCGCATCGCTGGTTTTTATAGATTTGTTTCCAATATTGGAGCTCCTAATAATGTGAAAACTGAGCTTGAATCTTTCTTGGATGAGCCTATATTGTCTCGGTCGGATGATTTTGATATATTGACATGATGGAAAGTAAATGCTATCAAATATCCGACTTTATCTCAAATTGCAAAAGATATTTTGGAGGTCATCCCAATATCTACAATGGCGTCCGAATCTACCTCAGTACTAGCGGTAGATTTATTAGCCCACACAGAAATAGGCTTCACCCCAAAACTTTGGAGGCTTTAATGTGTACTCAAGATTGGTTATGTGTCAATATTCACGATACGATGTATATAAACATTTGCTTTTCATATTGTTCCTTTTATGAATTCTCTAATTGCTAATTATTTTACTTTATTAATAGCGAATTCTGTGTCATCTGCATATTTTGGATGTTGCTCCAAGATGAATGATGAGAATATTGATGATGAGGTAATTTTATTTATCAGATAATGTAAATTTTAATCATAGTTATTTTGATGCTATTGAGTATAATATATCTTTTGTTTTTCAAGAACCATCTCGTGCCATCTCTAGCTTTGCAGCCTTTGCTAATGAATGAAGTTATGAAGATGGAAAAATATTAAATTTTGGATAAAGAAATGAAATTTAGTTACATTGTAATTCTACTTGCAAATGTTTAATTTTGGACATTATTTGTTTTCAGTGCTTGCTTTGATATTAATGTAGTTAGTTTGATCATTATTTGTTTTTGATTTTAAAATTTTGAATTTGTATTTAAAAAAAAAAAAAGGTAGGCCCCCTCTCCACCACGCCATGAACCCGCCCCTTTGCCATCCCTATCCCCAACCATACTTAGAAAATGATCTAGTCAGCTAAGAACAAAGATGAAAAGTCTCTTTTTCATTTGGAGGCTTGCATTTTATGCCTCTCCTGTGTAAATTCGGAGTATTTACATCTTTATTGTCTCATGAGTGTCTATGGAGTATTTTTGACTGAATTCCCTCTACGGTTGGTAAGCTTTCGAGTTGGGGATTAACCGGTAATAAGTTGAACAATGCTCTTTCAAAATTAAGTTAAAGATGTTAATAGGATAAGTGATGCTTGACGAGCAAGTTACAACAAGATCCATGAGTTGATGGTGCTTTTTATTGTGAACATGGAATTTGTATGAAAGGAAAATAAATTATAGTTATCATTTGTATGAAAATTATTAATTAAATGTGTTTAATTAATTTAGTTTCAATCTAAAAAAATATTATATTTGTCCCAAGTTTGTTTTATTGATGAGCAAATAAGATAAGGGACAGATGAGAGATAGTGAATTACATAGAAAATAAAAATCATTATTTTTCTTGTTTTCAAGGAAAATATGGTTACTGACCAAAAGTAAGAAAATATTTTTTTGTGAAGAAAATTGTCTATTAAACAACATAAAAGTAAAAAATTAGATTAAAGAAACAATTTTTTCACGAAAAATATTGATAATCAAACGCACCACTTTTTGAGTCGGTCCTAAAATGGTGAACATATTTCGTACCCTAAGAACCTGGGCATCAAATTCTGTCCATTATCTTAAAGCCCTGTTTGATAGCTTAGAAAATGGATGGAAAAAGAAAATGTTTTCTAACTTTAGCCAATTAAGGATGTTTGATAGCACAAATTTGCCTGACTTTTTTTTTTCCCCATATTTTTTTAGGTAAAACCATTTGATACACATTTACTTGATTTTGTTTTCCTACCTATTAGGTGGGAAAGCAATTTCCAACTTTTTTTTTTTTTAACAATGACAACAGATTCTATTATCCATTGTAAAAAGAATTTTGTTGACAAATTCTATGCAAAATAAAGTTAAACGAAAGTTATTCGGTTTGGCAATTTTTTCTAATTTAAGAAAAAATAAATTTGGTAATTGAAACAAATTCTAAACGTAATGATAGAAAAAATTATTACTTTAATGGACAATTTCCATAAAAAAAGAAATCAAATGGACATCAAACTTCAACATTTTTCAGGTGAAAAATTATACGAATCAAACACAATTAATTACAATTCCCAATAAAACAAATTTTAGGCAATTCAATTCTCAATAAAATATTTTCTTTCCACCCATTTTCCACATTTATAATCAAACGGATTCTAAAGCCCATAAAATATCGAAAAATGCTATTCATCCCCATTGGGGATGCATTCTCAGTCTATGTTAATGTGGTATTAAATGATAGGTGAAATTAAATAAGTCATTTAATTTCACCTATCATTTAACCAATCATTTACATTCATATAGATTGGGGATGCATCCCCATTGAGAATGAATAGTATTTTTCTAAAATATCTAGTACAAGTAATGGACCGAATAAAAAAAGGAATAATTCAAAGCCATGTTTGGCTACTTATAAAAAAGTAGAAGCTACTTCCTTTTTTTTTTTTTGTTTGAAAAAAATTACTTTTATAATTAAACATGTTTAAATGATAAGTTTTTTTCTTACTACTAAAAACAAATAGTTTTTGAAAGTAGTTGTCACATTTTTTTCAAAAAAGTAACTTACTCAAAAAAATTTATGCTTGGCCAAACACATATTTTAAATCTTCTACGATTTCTCGAACTATTGACAGCAGTACAAGAACCCCTTAAATCTCATCCGTCAATTCGTTTTATCGAACGGCCATCTTATCAGTCACCGGTCACGTTCTATTCTTACTAGTTTTTATTTACACTCATAAACCCTAGAACCTGGCAGGCTTCACACCACCTCCGCAGCCATCTCAGCGTGAAGGTGAACCCCATAATCCTCCACAAAACAAAGTAAAATTACCCCCAAAAATCTAAGAAATAGTAGATGAAGATCCTCAAAAGATAAGACTGTTGTTATCAAGTTTCTCGTTGCTCCCTTCTTGTTAATTTTATTTTTTAAATTTTAGATGGAATTTTTTCGAAAGTAGATATGGGTGTTTAATGAGATGATAGAAGAAAAAAATTGATGGGTTCTTTTGTATTACAAAGAACGTGTGGTGAAAGTATCCGTGGTGTGACGACTGGTGTCGAGGGTCAAAATTGGGTTAAATTGAGCCGAGTCAATTGAGTTGGTGACCGAGTTTGGTTGGGAAGAGTGTGAATTTGTACTCCTCAAGAAGGGTTTTTGTTGCATGCTATGGAGGGCGGGAGATTGTGCGTCAATTTGATTGAGTTACAATCGTGAGGATACTGAGTTGGGACCGAGCACGGTGTCTGGGATCCGAGTGTGAGTTGGTTGGACTGTTTCGTGAAGCGGGCGGTTGAATCTTGTCAGCGTGTTGCTGAGTTATCATTTATCAATCTCTTTCTCAAACTAGGCCGGGTCATGTACTGAGTCAACTCGGCTGGTAACCGACTTTCTTTCTTTCTTTCCAGTTATTTTCCCCCGGAGTCAACTGAATTTGATTACATAGACCATTATTGTAAGAAAAAGGTAAGCGAAAAAGAATTTGAGTGCTTATCATTAATAGAATTCGGTGGGTTTGGATTTACGCCAAGATTTGTTCTTTTAAGGCGGTGCAAAATAAATATAGTGTCTGGGAAGATTGATTCACAGCTTTTCTTCCATAGGAATAACCACGCATCCATGCCTTCAGTGGGAATGAGACGGAGTACGAGGGTGTTCGGGACGAGGGTATTGTGGTCAGGAAGGAGGGTCCGTAGGGGATCTCAAGAGGGCGGGAAGTGCACACGAACGATCAATGGGGATGATGAGTGGATTGAGCTTGTGGACAATTCCGGGGGCAGTGGAAGGGATTTCGGTAGCCCTCACAAGGGAAGCACATTGGATGAAAAGGAAAATCGAAACAGAAAAAGAAATGATCTCACTGTGGAAATGAATGCGAAAGAAATAGAAATACGGGAGGGTGAGGGCGCTGTTGAGGAAACAAATGAGGACAGGATGTATGGAATTGTGTATAGTAGAAAGAGAAAGAGGATGGAGTCGAAAACTACTGGCATTTCAGAGGACATGAGGTTTGGCAAGAATTATGCAAGGAAAAAGTGGAGGAAGAAAGCTGAAACAAGTGAATTACGAGTTTATACTAGGTGTAGAAAACTTGCTGTTGTTCTTGAGTCTTCTGGTGATAGTGATTATTGGATTGCTTGTTTCTTGAACACAGCATTGAGATACCTGCGGAGGGTTAAGTTTGGACTGCGGTGGCTCTCTGCTTTTGTATTCTCTGAGCCCATTTTCCATGCTTTTTCTCTACATGGTATTCAATTTCTGAAGGTAAATTTTGTTGTACGCTACTCACTTAGTTATAGTCATTAGTTTCTTGTTGACTGGTGGATGCATCCCAAAAAAAAAAAAATAATAAACAACTTTTTCCATTGATTATGCTTGAGTGCTGGCATTTGCTGGCATTTTCAAGTTACATAGTGCAAGTAATACTCCATTTTCATTATTACTATTTCTTTTTTTCCCTTTTGTGTCTGTCTCTGTGTGTGGGTGGAATTGAAATTTTTCATTTATGAGTGGTTAGGTATTATGAATACATTTTATAATAAAGTGTCTCGACTTATGAATTTAATTTTATCTGATTGCTGTAATGATCTTATATTGCTTTCTTCTTCTGTGTTTTAGGATCCTACTTCATGCCAAAAACATGGATTTTGCATAATTTCGGAATCCAGGTCTCTGATACCGGTGTTTTCTGTGGATTATTCTGCAGTTCCATTTTCCTTTATTATATTGCATTCAAGTATGTATCTTATATCTGCATATCTGGCTTGCATTCTTGTGATGCATCCTTTTGGTACAAATAGGATGGCTGAGAAACTGACAGATTATGATAAGGAACAATACTCTGACATTCCTTCTGGGAGAGATCAACCCGATTGCAATATGGTGTCATGTGAGATTGACGATTCTGGGAGGAGGGAGTTATCACATTCAATTGTTGGATTTTCTGAATCGCCTATTCAAAATAATCGATTAAGAATGGGTCATGTTACTCAGAAACGGAGAACTTCTCTGAGGCTCAGAAGAGGTAGGCCTCCTTCAATTTTTCGTGCACAGAGAGGTAGACATGATGGTTTCCAATCCTCAGCTATACCAACCAGCCATGTTTCTATAAAGGGCACTTCCACCATAAATAGAAAAAATATAAAATCTACTCTGGTGGTGTTGACACAAGAAGATATAGATGCTAGTAGTTGTTCTGCTAATGTATTAGTTGTTGAAACGGACAAATGTTATAGGGAAAAAGGAGTCATCATTACCTTGGAAGTATCTGCTTCGAAACACTGGTTTCTCGCAGTTAAGAAGGACGGGATAGAGCGATATAGTCTCACTGCGCAAAAATTTATGAGGCCATCTAGTTTCAATCGTGTCACTCATGCTACAATATGGAGTGGGGAGAGTAATTGGAAGCTCGAGTTTCCTTGTAAACAAGATTGGTCGATTTTCAAGGAACTTTACAAGAAATGCTATGATCACAATGTACAAGTACCCGCGACAAGTGTCATTCCCGTTCCTGGGGTACGTGAGGTATTGGACCCTCCATATACCAACACCCCATATGTCATACCCAATTCTTATATCACCGTAAGAGATGATGAACTAGCTAGGGCTTTGGATAAGAGGACTGCCAATTATGACATGGATTCTGAGGATGAGGAGTGGCTGAACAAGTTCAATACTGAATTCAATGTAGAAAAAGAGCTTCATAACCGTGTCACACCTGAGAGATTCGAGTTGATAATTGATGCACTTGAAAGACGTTTTCACAGTAATGCAGATGATTGGTCTAATGAGAAAGTGGTTGATAGTGTACAAATGGATCAAGAAAGAAAGGAAGTTGTGGAGGCTGTACATAGATATTGGATTCAGAAGAGAAAGCGAAAACATTCAGCCTTAGTAAGGATTTTCCAGGTAAATGAACAAGGTTCAGCAAAAGTTTTTCCTGTTATCCAAAAATCGTTAGTGCATGTTAGCCAACAGTAGATTGTATTAGACAGTTTAAAAAACAAGATTTTAGCCTTTTTTTTCCTTAATATGTCCAGTTCTATATAATCTACATTGAAAAACATGCCATTATTGTTCTGGTTACTTCATATCCTGGACCTGATATTAAGGTGGAATAAGTGTAGTTATTGTTGAGTATTATATTCTTGTGTATTAAATACTAGAAGACATGCATGGTATTGATTATAAATTTGCAAAAACTTGTGAGCTTGACATTTGAGGAAAACTGATACAGGAAGTCTCTATTTTATTCTTTGGTTACTACGGTATATGACAACAGGGAAACAGGGTACAAATGGACCCCAAGTTTACGCACTGGCTTTTAAAATTATAATATATGCTTTTCATACTTCCTTTCTTTTAGGAGGACCTAATAATAAATTAATAGAGTTACTAATATCATTTAATTTCCTTATATATTTGGTCAAGCAATCGAGGCAAGTCTGTGCTCAGGGTCATGGATTCTTGCCTTTCACGTGTTTACTATTCGGACTTGATAATAAATTTAGTAGATTCTTTTTTTTAGATTTATTTTTGCTTTTTGATATTCCTTTCTAATCTTATGATGGCCTTACTCTAGATTTAATTGTGCCAAATTCTTGTTTTAATGTGGACATGATTATTTTGACGACTTCTTTGTTCTTTATGACATTTTCTTTTCTTTTCTTTTCTTATTTTTGTACTTCCTTCCAAACTTTTCTCTTAGCATTTCCTCTTATTCCTCTCTCTTTTTTGGGGATGAAAATTGTTGAGGTGTGCTGCAGTAAAGAACCGGTTATATAACTAATTAAAAAGTACAAATTGGCAGTTTCAGTAATAATTATTATTTTATCTGGTTAGTATAATCAAAATTTTCAGTCTTGAGTCCTTTTCTAAATGTTTTAAGTGGCATCAAAAAAGTATTGTTTTGTAGACATCTTAGATGGAAAGTTTGTATATTTTGTTAAGATATTACTCAGTTTTGGCTTGTTTTATTCTTTTTTAAGTATTGATCTTTAATCTGCTAAAAGAAGTAACAAAAAAAATATTTTCCCATTATTTTCTGTGTATGTTTTCCTTCTCTTCCTGGATCATTTGGGTTGGTTATCTGAAGTAGGAAATGGTTTGTTTCTATGATAGCTTTACCAGCCTAAAAGAACTCAAATGATCCCAAAGTCTGTTTTGCGGAAGAAAAGATCATTCAAACGACATGGAAGTCAAGCTGGGAGGGGCAAACAACCACCTTCTTTGCAAGGTGAGTGCCATCAGTAACTGATTGTTTCTGTAGTTGTGGTTCCATTGGTGCCCAAATCTGTTCCATTTATGCATTTATGGGAAATTCATGATGAATATGAGGTCGTCTGCCTAAGAAATGCTTGTATCTACTTGCACCTATGGATTAACATAAGCTGATTTGTCAGGAAAGAATAACTCGGGTATTGGCACAAGTGTTTCATGTGATACATACCGTTTGGAGATGTCAGTAGTCTACACATCTTCCAGTATATTTGTTATAATGTTACTGAGTTTACGGTGTTTATTACATGTTACTTTTATCGTAGGTCGATGCATGGATGACTGACTTTTCTTCATATGTTGGAAGAGTTATTGCTGATGACCAATGTTCGTTAAATCTGTTGTCAAGCCTGTAAAATTTGATCAATTTCTCTTTTATAAATGCAATTCTAGAAATCTGTCGATCTTTCATGTAATTTAAGCCTGTGGTATTGAATATGTAACGGGAAGCTGGATGAACAGGATTCGCGAAGTGACATTGATGAATCTATTTGTTTAACACCTTGCCTAGAAAAGCTCAAGTTATTGAAAAGGAGATATATTTTTTAATAAGTTTTGCTTTCAACATGCCATTTCACATGGAAGTCAGATCCATTTTTCATCAAAGGCCTAACCACTAACATATGTGAAAAATTTCATAGATGGGTATCAGGTCTTGAATCCAGCTCTCTATATGTCATGATACCTTGTTAAACCATCTCGACTAAAAACTTAAGCTAATAAAACATGTTTATTTATTTAGCTTTTGTTGCCTACGATATTATATGTAATCATGAACGTTGATACTTACAACAGCAACAGCCGAACTAGATGCTTTGGAGCAGCAGAAAAACTTCTTCAAAGTGCAAGAAGCTAAAGTGCAGGAGGCTAAAGCTGCAGCAAACAGATTCGAAGGGTTTGCTATTCTAAAACGCCAACGTGCCCAGACACTCATTGAAAATGCTGACCTGGTGACTTACAAAGCCATGATGGCACTTAGAATTGCTGAAACTACCCGAAGTACTGTGTCTCAGAGCGATATTACACCAGTTTCTCTTCATTAAAAGATTGGTTTTCAGTGATTTGACTCGGACTGCCAATTCTTTTCCTGCTGAAAGAGGGATGGCAACCTCATTGCCCTGTTTTTTGAAGCCTTGGGAGGTAGCCATTCCAAATGAATTACTGAATGTACATTTGTGTATTTTTCTTGAATCTCAGCTAGATGTTTACAGTAAGGTTTAGACCTCTTTTCTTGTAGCAGGTAAAGTGGACATAATCTAGAGCTTTAGTTTGGAACTATTCAATTTGCACTAAATTCTAAAAATCGTATATTTTTCATATTGGTTTCCCCCCACCCAAAGTTTTTAACCTTTGTACTTGAAAAATCTGATTTGAGTTTGCTTTTGCAACTGTTTTAAGGATTCTGCACATTGGTCCCTGAACCTTTTTAATTATGAAATTCGAGCCCTGAATGTTCTAGGACCTGTAGACTGGTCCCTGAATGCATTTGCGGATCTGCTGCCCCCAGATTTTTATGTTGCTGTTTGGATGGGTTCACCAGAAATTTGGCCCAAACCCTAGAAATTCCCCAACCTGCTCCTGAATTGAACAAATTGGGCTGGATCCATTAAAGGAAACAGGTCATACTAAATCATGAATGAGGAAATTACACTAATTCCTCTTTCGAAATTTTCATTTAAAAAATCAAAATTTAAGTTTATTTTTTCAAATTTCTAGATCCACACTTGACTCTCCACCTTCACTCGTCGCCCACTGCATTACCACTTTGACCATCACCATTGAAAATCAACTACCCAATTACTTTCTTCACCTCTACCCTAAAGTCATTGACTGCTATAAGGTGTTCGAGTCTATCCTCCACCTAGTCTAGTACAATTTAGTTAGAGTGGACATGCGTATCCTCTTAAAAGGCGATGGTCACATCTCCTAGATTTATGGCATTCGTTAGTCAATTGCAAAAACTCTAATTGCCTTCTACCTGAAAATACATTGATGAGCAGTCAGAAGGAGATCAAGGACATCCTTGTTAGATGCGACATGACTTTGCTTGTGGGTGACCAACATCGCTATGAGCTGAAGAAGTTTGGTAATCGTGGAACTCGTGCTAGGTTCTAGAAGTCCTATAGTTGAATCCCAATAGTTCTGATAATATTATACTCTTCATTTTTCAACAACATATGGTGGTGGAGGTTGAGGTGGCGATGACGGTGGCGACGACAATGTGGTTGGTGCTGAAGGTGGTAGAGCTGGTGGAATGAGGTAGGGGAGAGATGAAGAATGGTTATGACCACTTAATTATTATTTGGGACTAGTAAATGATTGTGGCCTTTTAATTATGTGATTTGTGAGCACAAATTGTTTTGTATGTGACTGTGATTACGTGTGATTTTGTGACTAGTATGTGGCCATGACCATAAATGTGTTTTTATTGTAATCGAGATCTATTTGATTAAATATAGGTCACAACATTTTATCATATATTTATTAAATTTTATCCAGTTTGTTAAATTTGAAAGTATTATATTTATGTATTTTTTTTCCATCATGAATTTTTAGAGTTAATTGGTAGAAAAGATATAGAGTAATAATTTACTTCATTGTTCTATGACAACCTTTTTGGTGCCACATTCTTAAGAAGCACACTTGGTCCTTGATGGTGGTTAGTATGCTTGAAATGAGAGGAAAATATTGTGCAATCATTTTGTATTTATTAATTTTTATTTCGTTCAAAACATGAATAACAATAAGTCTTTAAGTCTTCAGATGACTATTTGAATGAAATTGTCATCAGAGATAATGAGGGCTAGTAACTAGTGGATAGTTAAAAGTTAGGAATTCAAGTGTGACAATGAGTAAAGAATGAGAACTTTGAGTACAAATAAGAAGTGGCATAAAAAAATAAAAATAAAAATATGATGGAAGTATACCCCCCCTCCAAGAAAAAAATGCTATAAATCAATAGTAGGGCTTTAAACAATTATTATCCTTTCCAAAACCATTCCTGAAAAGGGCCTAAAGTTGGCCCAGTATAAATATTTCATTCAGCCCAATTGGCTCAAATTAGAACAGAACAAGCCCCAAGCTTGACAGACCACAAAATTGGGCAAGGCCTCCAGTAATCAAGGCCCCCAAAGGAATAGGCATGGAGCATCGAGAAGATGGTTTGAAGAAGAGGTACGAAACCTCAAACCCTGAATTCTGCATGAACTTTCATCGAATAGGCATGGCGCTCAACTGTTACTGTTATAATGCTGCTATTCATGGATTTTGTAATATAGGTGAGCCCGAAATAGCTATGCAAGTTTTGACGGAGATGAAGAGCTGTGGAATTAACCCTGATACACACAGCTATAGTATATTGGTTGAAGGGTTTTGCAGACGCGGAAATATTGAGAGAGGTGACATAGACATTGCCAATAAACTTTTGGAAGAAATGATCAACAATAAGTTGGCTCCTAATGCTTCGAGTTATGAGAGCTTGATTCACGGATATAGTAAAAATGGTTCCTCTGAGAAAGCCTTGGAAGTTTTTCAATACTATGATAGAAGACAATATTTTGCCAAATATTGCTACCTACAACTTGATCGTAAATAGTTACTGCAAAAAAGGATGTATAAAGGATGCTTTGCAACTTATAGATGAAATGACAGACTGGGGAATATCCCGAACATGTTTACTTATAATTTGGTTATCAACTCACTGCTTGGCTACAGAACACCTCCAGCTTATTTTATTCATGATTCTAGACTTTGCAAATGGCCCAGAATTCTGTGACCCCTGTCAAGGCAGAGTGAAGGGTCTTATAGCAGCTATTGATGGTTTTGAGCCGAGAAGGAATTTTTGACTCTCGACCTATACTTCTTTTGGATCAGGTACACCTTTATACATTGTATGAAACTTTCCAGCTTCATCAAATTCTCCTTTAGCCTTGAGTTGGTAATCTTCTCTTGATGCTCTTTCTTTTCATTTTTAACATAGATGATGTGTGAATTTCATATTTTCTTCCCGCATGTGTTGTTTGATACAATTTATATTTAGGTGTCAATATAGTAGCTTTGCTCTCATTTTGGCTACTTTTACATTTGCTTTTTCAAGAGAGGATCGTATCATACTCTGACGTGAACTCTTTCTTGTTTACTTGGTTATCCTTCCTGAAGATGAGACTGTTGTGAAGGAAAAGATTTGTCAGTTGACATTGTAGAATCAATCTTCAATTTTTCGAATTTCTATGGTAAATTTTTATTCCTCTCTTATTATAAGAACATAATCTTATTAATCATGACATTTGTTCTAAAGAATTACTAGTTAGATTATTTTGTGTTTTATTTGCGCAATAGATTAACGGAAACTAATTGTATTCTCTGTTTTTCGTTTATAGGGTATCAGAGGCCTGAAAATCTTATTTTTGGAGACTGTGAATACCACTTGCATGCACATTTTTCGCTAAAATTATATACCGTGAGTACAGGGGTCACATTCCAGTAATAAAGTGGACTTTTTGAGTCCGGATTGTCAATCCCTCGAGAAATGTTTACTTTTGATTATATAACTTTAGTCAATTTAATTTTAACAATAAAAACAAACACACAATAAAATTTGATGTTGGAAAATAAAGAAAATTAACTAAAATATACAAAATAAGAAAACATAAACACTTGAAAATTTTGGAGGAAAAACGTGGTTGGGATTTATAGTTTCGCTTTTGAGGTATTTTATGTTACATGTTTAGATATCGGTGGTAAAAATGAAAAACTAAAAAATTGTTCTGCTTTATTTCATTATAAATCTTTTGCATTCATTTCTAGACTGGCATATTTGTGGATGTTACTTTGTGCTAATTCTGATGATCCATTGACGATGTTTAACAATGCTAGGGAAAATTTAGTCATTTCCTGGATATGGGTTTATGTTCATACGATTGTACGCTAGAGGAAATACTCATTATTTGAGTTTGTTAATCCAAGGTGGCTACTTCCTTTTCATGTTTGTGCAATAATTTTGTACTCAAATACAGAACTTTGTATTTTATGCAGTAATGTTTATAAATGTGTTGTGTATACCATGCCCACACAAGAAAGAAGGGAAAACATTGGTTAGTTTTCTCTATGATGAATTGTCATTGACAAAGCATTTGTACAATGTTGTTTATGACATGTTTAGTATGGAGAATTAGAAAAGGATTAAGAAAGAAAAAGAAGTTAAAATCCTATTAATTATATTGGTCACTCTTGTATACTCGATGTGAACTTAATCACAATCGTGCAAAACTTCATTTCCCCTTCTGTCAACTGATTTTGTTTTTGGTGAACACGAATTTCATTTCCGTCATTTGTTATTGCGCATGATCTTACCAAATTCAGTGTTTGAAAAGGCAAACAAAGAATTTGTCTCACCGAATTATGTTTGCTTTTAGCATATACGTAGGATACAATTCTACTTCTATGCGTGTTTATAGTAGCTTGATTATGCATATGTTTCTCAAGTTGTAAGCATCTACACTCTCAATAGTAAAATATATTTACTAGTAAATTCTGAATAGGGTATCCAATTTTCAACATTATGTGCATCTCAACTTTAACAAATTGTAGTTTATCATTTCTATGTTTACTAGTAAATTCTGAATAGGATATCCAGTTTTCAACATTATGTGTATCTTAACTTTAACAAGGTATTCACTACGTTGTAGTTTATCATTTCAAATATTTTCGAATATCTCAATATTCTAATTTGAAGAAAACAATGTCTTCCTTCACAATTATCGACTGCACCAAACTTAAATTAAGAATGTTACATAAACCAGTATCCTATACCCTCAATTCTGGGTGGGACTTCACTTAGAAACATAATATTCGTCCAGCATTTTCAAGTTCGATCATATCGTTATTATGTTTATCTATAATATAAACAATTTATCCCACCTTTAGTCAACATACAAAATGACTCAATGGCGATGTCTTATGAAAGCTCACTATGTATCATATTTGAGATTGTGGATTTACAAATAAAAATGAAAATCGTTTTTTCTCATTTTAAAGAAATTGCAGTCTTGTGGGTGATCCAACTCTAATTGGGCCATTTAGATTTCATCATGGGGACAATGCATAACTCCTACATTATATTTCAAAACTATAAAACTTGTCAAATTATTTCAAAATTCAAGTGTTAATTTCATCACCCCCACCAAATTAATAAGATATCAATTAATAATACTCAATCCCATCCACCTATTAAAAATTGAAAAATCTTCTCGAGATTACGTCCCATCCTCGGAACCACGCCCAACCCCAACTAGACCCACCTACCCCACTTGTAAAAAAATTTAAAAATTGAAAACTTTTTTCGAGATTACACCCCACCCCACCCCTACAGAATCATCTCAAATTTGTAACTAATTACATTATTTGGACCATATTTTTTTGTAATCCTATCTGTGACCAAATTTATCTTTAGTGTGACCATCTGTGATTGTCTAATTTGTAACTATATGCAACCAAGTCACTAACATGTGTTATCTGTGACTAACTGTGATCAAATTTGTCTTCAGTGTGATTAATTGTGACCAAATTTATCTTCAATGTGACTGTTTGTGATTGGGTTAATTTTAACTGTAACGATATGTGATCAAGTCACAATCGATCATAATTAACACAGAATTGGTCACAAGCAGTCACAATAAACACATAATTGTTCACAAAGGGTCACCACAAACAAATTTGTACATACCGTAGGCCAGAATCACAATCCACCACCACCTCCAATGCATCACTACTATCACCTTCAACTCAAATCCACGACAATGAATACCTAACTAATTTTTAACTAAAACTCTTCTATGCACCACCACTACCACCTTCAACTAAAATCTACGACCATAGATATTACCTTTACCTCAAATCTACAACAACAATCATCACCATCATCACTTCCACCAACACCTTCAACAAACACCAACCACCACACCACCGACATCATCGCACCACCACCACCACCAAATGTAGCTCAACGCAACTGTAGATTCACGCAACCCACGGATCCACCATTGACACCAATCAAATGTCGTGCTATCGCACCCAGTCGTTGCCAACAGCACCACTACTGTCGCCACCACCAAAATCTCAACCACCAAGTCCTAAACCAATTCCACCTTCACCACTAGTTTTTTCTCCACCACCACAAATGTGCTCACCTCTACCACCACCCTACTCACCTCCACCACCAGTCTCATCCCCATCCCCAACACCTAAATTCCCACCTCCTACACCTTCATTACAGTTACCACCACCAAAATTGACTCGAGACAAGCTGATTAATCGGACCATCGGAAGCTGCAACCACGTGGAAACAGAAAGCAACTCCGTCAAAGGGCACATGGCTCGAACACCCATTTCAAGTATGGCTATATAATCAGTAACCTCCTCTTTCCGGCAACTATGAATCAATCGATCGAGAATGTGAATTTAGCTTGAGCCCATTTGTAAGAATCGTGCGGCTCCAACGGGAGCGACCTTTGGCGGTGGTGGCTAGTACTCCATCGACGGCTTGAATTAACCCCTGATTTGTGAAAAGAAAAGTTTTAAGATTTGATATTTGAAATGTATTATTAAAAAGGTAGGTTTTTGAGTAATTTTCCCTTTCATCATAGATGTATACTCATGAAAGCCATATCTTCATTTTTATTTCCCATTTTATAGTCTTGGTCTATCAATATCTATTGTGGCTTGAGGGAAATATTCTTTACAAATACCTCTGACCATAGTCAGACACCTTGTCCATCGATATTTGGGAAAAAAAAACTACAATACGAACTTCATTGCTATGAAGAGAACAAACATTCCTCTGTAGCAAATTTTCACCACGGACTTCTTGGGTTCGCAATTACCAAGACTTTTTTCTAAAAAAAAAGATAAGTTTAACAGCCCTACATTGGAGAAATTGTAGAACTCGATTTACCCATGGATGGTATATGCTAATATGATACAAAAGTATTTCAACTCAGTTGTCAAACACAATCATATTTCTTAAAACATTTCATACATAAATGGATTCATGCTATTTCACGAACAAACACAATCTATCATGATCAAATTCAAAAAGCTAGTATGCATTAAACTGCCGCATGCAGATGATACAAAAATGGAGGGTTACAAATTTAAGTATTTATTTAACATATCCGGATTGCACGTAAACATATTGCATAAAAATTCAGATTTTATTCAGAAAATAAAACCATAAAATGCACAAGGAAATCCATCTTAAAATTGTTAGAGAAAATTTGTGCATTAATTTATATTCTGCTAACCAAAAATATGTGTATGCAAGGACAATAAAATCAGGACTTATCGGATATAATTTTGACTTATTGAACGTATGAATATACGCACAAATTGTGATTTACTAGAATGTAGAAATTCGAAAGAGATGAAATGAAGCGATGTATGCAAATGTAAATCACCTTAAGACGAATTTCGCTCCCTACACAGGTGTTAACACGATCAAATGGACGTCCATTTCCTAATATACAACTTTTTTTCCATAATTAATTTAGTACACTATTAATTTTGTAAAACGAACCACCGCTTACTCTTCTAGAATGGAGAATATCTAATATTAAATATCGAACACGAAACCTAAAATTTTACTTTGACGGAATTTGGAGAAAGAAAGAATTAGAAATCAATTATTTGGAGCGAAGAAAATGGAATTAGGAGGATTCCATTTTATAGATTTTCATGTGTTTCTTCGAATGATCGTATCTTTTGGCACAAATTAATTTCAACCATTAGATCACACTATTTCATATTTAATGGTGTAGATTGTACCTTATCTAAATGTCGAAAGAAGACGAATTCTACGAAATCGCTTGATTGAAAAAATAAGTCGGCACGGACATTAGTTGGAAAATTGGTGGATTATAATTATACTCTTTATATTGTGTAGTAAACGTATTAGGTATATTGAATTGAAATTTTCATTAAGATCACGCAACTTTCAGATTTGTTTCATGGCACCCAACTTTACTTCGTTTTTTTTTTTTTTTTTTCGACCACGCACCTTAAATTTTTTTGTCTTGGCTTGACCAATATATCCTTAATCAAGATCAAAATTAATAACAAATCCCATTGATTGATACCCGACAGGACACTTGTTTTAACATTGTTTCTAAGATTTATGTCAAATACAAAAAAAACTTGAATAATTCCCACATACACTGGTAGCACCTGTATGGTGCATTTTCTGTCATTATTGGGTTCAAAACTAATGAAAAATTGTCAAGTGTTGTTTCGTAAAATTTCTGTCAATTTTTTTTGTACTTGTAGCATAACTTAAAAAACTTGGACTAGTGCATTAAGAACCCAAATTTTACTTTGTGCAGTTCGAGTTAATTCCCTATATGGTCACTAAACTTTTCTTAAAGTTTCCTCGGGATCATTGAACTTAAAAATAGCCATTGTTAGTCACTTAACTTTGAAAATTGGCACTCCATCCACTACTGCACAAATGGCACTTGCAAAATTCTAAAGATTTGATGACGTGTCTAATGATATGACTTACGTACACATCATTGTAATAAAAAGATGTTAAATCACTGCATAAATCACGCATTCAACAGTCATTAAAAAACACCCAAATATGCATTGGACGATTTGTGAATAAAAAATGTCACATACAAGTAGACTCATGCTCAATGTCACGATTTGGCATCTTTTTATTATAATGACGTGCCACGTAACCCATACCTTTAGACACGTCATTAAATCCTTCCAATTTTGCAAGCGTCGTTTATGCAGTGATGGAGAGAGACCAATTTTCAAAGTTACTAATGGGTGGAGTTTTTAAATTCAGTGATCCCGTAGGAACTTTAAGAAAAGTTCAGTAACCATTTAGGGAATTAACATGTGTAGTTCCTTTCCAATATGTTTAGTAAACTAATTATTGAATGTTGGTTTAGAATTGAACATGGGTTAGTTACGCAATTCGCTTGCCACATCGAATTGATGATTAACTTCGATCATGATTATAGATAAAATGATCGAACCAAAAAATTCAAAGTTGCGAGACTAACATTAAACTAACTTGTAAGTTGGATAATCTCTAGTGAACTTTGGACTTAGAAATTATAGCTCCCTAGTTTATCAACAACTATGTAAGGATAGACATGTGAGATTGTGATGCAACGTTTCAATTCAAAATATGAGCTAGCCATATAAAATACAATTTAGATAGTTGGCAATTTGGCACTTCGAGCAGTTGGCCACGTTAGCTCGGTCAAGGTTGGAATAAACACGTGAATGTAATTGGGAATTTATCATGTTTGAAAATTTTAAGGTAATTTTTTTATATATATAATTTAGTTAATCGAAAATTGAATAATAATTTGATGGTTTTCTGATTCTTGTGAGGGAAGTCCTCAAACCCTCCTTACCTATCAGATAAGCATAGAATACGAACTTAAAATGCATTGTATTTGGACCAACAAGTTGCCAATTCCATATTGACTTTGCATCGCCCAATAAATTATACAAATTATATAGACAATAAAATTACAAATTCGATCTAAGATAAATGCTCCTCGCACCAACAAAAAAAAGTTCTAAATTTAGGTCAAATCAAATAGTGTGACTCGAAATTCTAAGACGTGAATAATAGTCTACTTCAATTTATGTTAAAGAATTTAAAGCGACTGGACAATTAGGTCACATTTTCTTCAAAAACTTGAGTTCCTTTCTTTTCCATCTTCAAACGTCAATTTCTCACTTTTATTTTTCAAATTACAGATATATACACTTTTAGCGTTAAGTTTTTATTCATTTAAAAATTATTAACAAATAGATGTTATTCATTAATCATCATTGGTAGAGATCATAATCAAATTAGGTGACAACATGTCCCTTCAACAATGTAATACGGGGATCCAATGCAACTTTAGATGGATTGTTATTGTGTATACGTGAACAATATAATCGAACAAAAGAAAACAATACGATACACAGAAGTTTAAGTGTTTCAATAATGTGCTTACGTTCACTCTACAGTGCGAATAATCAACTAACTTCGAATAAAGCTACGTAATAAGTTTTATATAGAACCCTAATCTTCAAATCCACTTATCCTAATCCACAACGGGTCCATGTCTATCGACTAGCCCATCAACTAGCCCCATGTATATGAGCCACTCATCAACTATTATGATCTCTACTATTTAATTATTTCTTGGTTTTTGGTGACGTAGCATTAAATCATATGTTTATTTCCAATCCTCCATCGCCCAACTGCACGGAGACACAAACCTGACTCCATGCAATATCCCATGTTTTGTGTATTGAACATCTGGCTCCCAAATCCTACGCCTCCACAGAGGTTGACACATAGACACATGCACAGAATCCAGTGTACAGCTCCTTATCTTTGCTTTGTTGGCAAGTTCTAATCCTCAAGATTCAAGCGGCATATACAAACAACTCCATCTCCATTGCTTTCATTTTTTAACCTAATTTTTATATCTTGAAGAGATTATTCAGAAGTACTCAGTCGTAATTAAGTCAGTCTCAATTTTATTCAAAATTATTTTCAACCACGTATTGAAAAAGGATCGCAACTTTATCTACTTTTCAGCCATATATTTTATCAAACTTTGTTAAAAATTTGATTTCAAGCCAAACCAATACACGGTTGAGCACAAACAATATTATTTTCTATAAAAAGGAAGAACTTATCTCGCTAGCAATCACACCTTTTTGGATTAAAATTGAATTTTTAGTAGATTTTGATAAAAAAAAAAAAAATTAATGAGATATGTGGTTGAAAAATTGATAAAAATTTTGAGTACCATGAAATTTGTTGTTGAAAATGAATTTTAAGAAATATGGTACTTATTATTATCAAATATTTTATCTTTTAAACTAAATCAAAACATAATCTTGAAAATAAAGTAGGATAAAAGTAGTTATGAATATAATTTATTATTTATAATCTCAAAAATTCATAACTTTTTCTAATTTTTTACTCACGTATTATTTTAAAAAAATCATTTTTCACAACAAACAATTAGTTTTTGCTTTAGATTGAGCCCCTGTTTGTTATCCATTAAAATGTGTTTTTTTTTAATGAATTTTAAAATAATGATTTTTAAGAGAATGTGTAGTTAAAAGATACAGAAACCACGGATGTAACCCATATGTTATCTGTTTCATACAATTTCTTACAGGTTTGTTCAAAATTCAAAGTAAAGAGCTGTAGATAGAATCTTGAAGTTGAAGGATTAAAGGGCGGCTGATTGACAGTCCATGCTTCTTTCATTGCCACCTGTCGCGTTGCACATTGTTATATATCACACTTGTCCACCCATCTCCCTGCTGTAAAATCTAAACACTCAATTAGCATTCACAAAAATCCTTCCCAACAAATCAATATAAATTTCCTCTCGTGTTTGATCATTTTAGAAAAATTCATACACCATGGAAAGTGAGAATCTTCGACTGGATTTACGAATTGGAAGCGGAAAGGAACAAAAGGGGCAGGCCAAAATAGCCATAAAAAAATCCACAGTCCGGCGTTCGAGAAAAGGGTGCATGAGAGGCAAAGGTGGTCCTGATAATGCCTTCTGCACTTACAGAGGTGTACGGCAGAGGACATGGGGCAAATGGGTGGCCGAAATCCGGGAACCAAATCGTGGTGCAAGGGTTTGGCTCGGCACCTTCAAAACTTCACTGGAGGCAGCGCGTGCTTATGATGATTCAGCCAAAAGGCTGTATGGGAGTAGCGCCAAACTCAATTTGCCTGACGATCATGTGCACCAGTTTTCTTCACCTTCGCCAAGTAATTTCACTCTCTGTGATTTTTCTGTGCCTGATTATTACGAAAATGTGAATGAAAATGAGAATTCTGTACTGGATGAAGCTTGCATGTTTAGAGATATTAATGGGGAGTATGTGCCGTGGGATACTCCGGCGCCAACCTTGCTTGATGAGAAACAAAATCTGAATTGGCCGGAATTTCCCGTGGAGAATGATTTTCACTGCTCTTATGGCGGAGATTTCAACACTCGTTGGGACGAATGTCAAGTTCCATGGACCTAGAAAATCTCGACAACGGTATGCAATTCTAAAATTACTGTTAATTTTGATTTCATGGCTTTTTTAGTAATTTTCTTGACCTCGGTTTACTTTTTTTTTTTTTTGGGATGCAGGCTTCTTTAAGACCATAATGTAAAAGGGTTTGCCACAGCTGTTACGGTTTTTAACTTTTAAAAGCTTTTTGGTTTTTACTTTTTAATGTTTTCCTCCGTCCCCTTGTTCGTGAGGGGAGGGAGAGAGATGTAAATATAGTTAAAGGTTGAAGATTTGCTAGTCGTTTGTGCATGGTTCCTATAATTGTAAACAATCTTCCATAACAATGTGATGCGGAAACGTTTATGAAATTCTTGTAATAAAAATTATGTAATAAATAATAACGATATTTGAATAATCATAGTTTGTATATATTGAATAATAATTGACTATTGTTGAAAAGTGTACAATGCTTTTGTATTTATAGGCAAAACTATTCATTAATCCTATTAAGATAAGGAAACTAAATTTTACAAAGAAATAAACTAAATTTCTAATCTAAAAAAAAAAATTAAAAATCCTATTCTAATCCATAAAGAAAAGAAATCTTATTCTAAACAAAAGATAAAAATAAAAGATAAAAACTTATTACAATTAGACATTTTATTATAAATATATAATCTTAATCATATTTATAATATGACTGTCCAACGTCACAATGTATGTATTTTTTTGTGTTTGTAATGAATGTTATTGTAGACTATAATCTATATCAAATTACTAGTGTGAATATTTTATTTAATTTTCGAGATCTAAGTTAAGTTACGAAGGATTGTTATGTAACGTTATACAAGACTGTTTGAATATTATCAAACACTATTTTTAACTTTTGTGTAGTAAAACGATAAATGTGATTATTATATAACGTTATACAAGACTGTTTGAATATTATCAAACACTGTTTTTAACTTGCGCAGTAAAATCATAAATGATTAATGTTCTTGTATTTTATATATCACTACTTTGACAAATCGCTTAATTCTACATATTTAGGTTCTAGGCAAGAGCTCTCAATATGATATCTTTTGTTTCTTTCTTCATATTATTTGGCTTTTTAATATAATGATCTAGGATCATGAAGTAAATCCTTGTTTACGTAGGTCATTTTTTTGTACAATATTTAAGAAATGTGCATACATTTTCTATCTTCAAGGCTGATTTCTATTATAGTGGCCTTATATGATAACACAATTTTTATATTCATTCTTTTCGGTGAAGGACATCTTAGCTTGACTTTAGTTTTGTGATCTCAAGAATTTTGTTGCCCTCAGTTTGTTATTACTGATGCTTATTTTGTCCTATAATAACTAATATTTTGAAAGTTTTATATCAAGTTTTATTTGTCAGTTTCTAGAAGACGTCACGTATCGCATATGAAAATTTTGGGGGAAAAATAAATAATATAAATAAATATATTATATAGTAATATAATTCAAATATTATTTACCAAAAACATAGGGCAACTTACAAAAATACTTCTAAAATTAGGAGTCTTATGAAAAATTATATGAATAGTATTTTGAAAGCAAAAAATACTGTGTAAAATTAAATGTCACTCTTTTTATTAAAAAAGTGACACAATATCACTTTTTAAAGTTAAATGTCACTTTTTTTTATTAAAAATGGAGTTATTAAAAAATAATTTTTGTAACTCAAAAAAGTGACAAAATTTTCAAGAAAATGACAGAAAAAGTGACAAATATTGAAAAAAGTGACAATACTAAAAAGAGTGATAAACACTCGAAAAAGTCACAAATTCAAAAATAATGACAAAATACCAATAAAACATTAGAATCAGTTCAATAAAATGATAAAAAAGTGACACGACCATCGTTCCTCCTTTTTCTTCGTTCACCGCCAAACATCTTTAAGCAAGTTCAACGACAAACCATATCTTACTAATTTCTAGTATGTGAAGAATCTCTAACAAGTTACATTCATAAATCTCAAATAACATATATTAAAAAAAACAATAAATAAAGTGACATATACTAAAAAAATAACAAAATTCCAAAAAGTGAAACACTAAAAAAATTAACTAAAAGTCAATAAAAAACTTGAAACCAGTTCAATAAAGTGACAAAATTAAAAAAAGTGACAAAAACTAAAAAAAGTGACAAACACTTCAAAAAGTGACAACTAAAATTTAATATCAATCAAAACTTTATAAGAGATTTAGGGGATGGTTGAGTTTCTTTTACATGTTATCTCATTGATCAATTTTCTTGAAGAGAACATTTTATTGATGATGTTATGTCATTACGAAAATAAAGTATGTTGAAGACATCATGTTAAAGCAATGTCTTCGTGTAAACAAACTGTTGCTAACTTGTTTTTTATTATTATTATATTTTTTTATATGAAAACCATGGTTCTATTGCTTATTGAATATTTGTGGGTATAGAGATGGGCGCCCCACCCCGCCATAAACGGGACAGGATGGGGCGGGGCTCGGGGCGCAAGTCTGCCCTATTTCCTGCCTCTTTTTTTAAAAAAAAAAAATTCAATTAAAATACAAATTCAAAATTTTAAAATTCAAAACAAATAACACACAAACTAACTACATCATTATCTAAAGCAAGCACTTGAAACAACTAAATGTCCAAAACAATTTTTTTTTTTATTCTTCACGAGGCGGAGCATCTCCGCTCCACTCCGCCCAGCCAACCCGTCGTGGCAAGGCGGGTTTTTTTGCCATCACTATGTGGGTATGATTATCTTGTGACTGCACACATCAGATTTTTAATGTAAATATATTTAACTGATATGGATCAATGAATTTAAGTCAATAGAAAAGTTCAAAATCTTTAACACTAACAACTTGTATAAGTCATAAAAGCACCCTAAACTTCTATCTGGTTTGTAATTATGCTTGGAAAGGAGTGATAGTTTGGATGATTACGCAAAATTAACCAAAAGCTTAATTCATACAGTGTCATTAACACAATACAATTTAGTCATCAATTAGTTCATTGGTGGGTTCTATACTCATGTGATGACATATAAATAGTGATAAATTAGCCAAAACGAACTCGGACATTTTGTAGAAGCTACAATGAGTCGAAGGTTGTTGCTGCTACTCGGAATTATGGATTCAGTAACTGCAACCACCAACCTTCATATTACATAACAAATATTGTAGGAGCAAGTTAGTAATAAACATTTTGTTCATTAACATATCATAAAAGGGATACTCCTATTTCTAGAAAAGAGTATGAGAAAGTTTTGAATGCACTCACTAAGAATCTCAGACAAAACCGCTAATAAGTTAGAAAATTTCTTTTGCAATTCCCAATTGAAAATGGTTGGCCAAGAAATAAGAGATCCATTAATGATCCTCACCTCCTTCATTGTTATCCCCAAATCTCGTCGTCACCGACACAACCACCATCCCTCCTCTTTCTCCGTCGCCATCATTACAACCACTGGCAAACCCAAGCCTAAGCACAAACCCAAGCCATTTACTACTACATCTCTACTTCTATCCATTGTTTAATGAGACAATCGAGGAAGCTGAGGTGATATGCAGAACTAGCATCAAAGCTGGTGAACGAGAGATTCAAGGACTTTTTAATGATAGCATGGTGGTCTTGGGGTTTGAGGGTATAGAATCTTTAAGTTTGATGAATGTCATCAATTGTGGTATAGAGAAACAGAGACTAGAAAAATTTATAGATGGAGGTAGAGATGGTAGAGAAACTGGCTTGATCGGTTTGGGGTTTTAAAAACGTATTAACTACAATCTTGGGATGTTTTAATATTTTTAGGTTATAAATCTAATTTGATATTTTTTAGAATAGCGAGCCTAATATCCTCAAAAATATATACCAACTTGGCCCAAGCTCACGACCATGCTGAGCCGTTTATCAGACAGCGACGGCACGTGTGAGTGGGCTTTGGCCTATCCCCTTCAAAAACTATTGGTACCCATTGGTGTCCAAATCCAAGTCATAAACTTGAACAATATAAAGTTGCTTCTATTCTTCTAGTTTTCATATGTGGGATTGTTGTTTTCCAATTTTCCATCAATTTTTATTCCAAATTTCTTTCAATTTCAAGTTGTTTTTTTTTATTTTAATTTCTCATTCACCCTAAATTGTTTTTGAGAAAATAAATACATTACATTAATCTACTCATGGAATAAACACACTCGGTCAAAGAAATCTTTTATTCAACTAACGGGACCCACTAAAATAATTGGTTAAAAGTTGGTCAAACCAATTAATTAAAACCAATTTTTCCAACAAGATTTAAGTAACTTTATAGTCCCCTAAACATTTTGGATTTTACCTTCAAACAAAAAGATTACTATTTTCAAAATTAACTCTTATACTAATGTCATAATAAGTAACCGAATGATTTTTAATTTTAATCAATAAAAAACTACTTTTTTACTTGTAAATAAATTTATTTCAAAATTGAGCCAAACATGTTTAAAAAATTAGGAGGCTCTGTGCAGACCATTCTTTCACCACGTGAAACAGCCATTATAATCTTCCTCAAAGGACTCCACCTACTTCCTGCAGTAATATAGTGACCAACAAAGGACGAAATAAATATGCAAATTAATGTGCTGTTGTTGAGAATTTATTGCACTACATCATTGTATCTATGGAATATGATGAAGTACGTGCATCAATATTATTTATTTTTTGTTATATATTTAATTAAAAAATAAAAATATAAGAGCTTGTTTGGTACAAATTAAAATCAAATTTTAATCTAAGTCAAAGTCAAACAATCAATATTAACCACACTTTTCATGGGTCCCACAGCTTTTTAACCACACATTTCAAAAATTTCTATCAGAATTTACTAAAAATATAATTTTAATCACCACCAAACACCCCCTAAGTGGTTTTAGTAACTTTCTATCTTTTCAAATGAGCGGGTTAAAAGTCAATGCAATTTGTTACAAGTGATAAAGGTAGGGAATTAACATTGCAATTTTTTCCTTCTCTGAATTAAGTGACTTAATTGAAACTAGAATATAAATTAAGTGATCCAATTGTATCAAAATGAAGTTCAATGCTATGACGAGTTTTACTAATAGAACTTGTTACCTTATATTTATAGATACACAAATTACTCTCCATATATATTCACCAATAATATAATTTTGGGAAAATTAGGGTCGGACTTCCTATCTGTTCATGTGGTTTAAATATGGGTTCCCTACCTCAAAAAAAATGAAGTTCTAGGTCCCTAAACTATTTAAAATTCGAGTCTCCAAGTAATCGAAAATTTGCATGCAATTAAGATTGTTCAAGATTAGATGTTACATAATTTTATTTATAAATTAACTTTTAAGTTTAGCCAAACATATGATCAACAATGAGACGGAGATTCGGACGAACTAGTCTATGTTGAAAATCCTAAATTAAACATTCTGTAAAGCTTGTTCAAGACTTATATGGTAAATGAAGCTTGGATGACTGACTATAAAAGTGCGTTTGATTGGTAGGTAGATGAGAGATGGGGAATAGATAAGAGAGAGAAAGAGGGAGTGAATTTCGGAAAATAAATATTTTCCTTGATTTTAAGGAAAATATGGTCATACAACTAAATGTAGGAAAATCTTTTCCATGAAAAAAAATGTCAATCAAACAGAACAAAAGTAAAAATTTTGGTAGAAAAAATATATTTTACATATAAAATATTGACAATTAAACGCACCCTAAGTTTCATTTGGAACTGGAAAGGTCCACTTCCATCCATTATTTTTCATCCCAATAGGTCATAAATAATTTGGGACAAGATAAAAAGTCATAAAATTGTGAAGGTAGGTGAAGCAATTTAATATAAGAGGACAGAAATATTAATTAATTAATTAGGAAATGGAGTAGCTGCAATATTTGCCCACCGTATTTAAGTGCCTTTTATTTATGGTATTAAATATGTAATATGGAATTATTTAGGTTATTCAAGCCTTTTCAACATAGTTGTCAGACCCGATCCGAACACTGACTCGGGACAATGCAGCGGATCAGTGGTTCGACCGATGACCCGGTGGGTTAATGCTTGTTAAATATATTATTATCTATTTATTGAATTGTGATTGGACCGGCGGGTCAATTCTTGTTAAATATATTATTAACTATTTATTAAATAATAAAATTTTGAGATTTTCTAATACTAACTAAATTAACCTTATGTAATTTAGGTGACTAAAGATCAATTTTATTTCAATCTTCAATTTTTGTTTGACGCGATTAATACCGCCTTCAGCAAAAGTCTTTCCACAATACAAACAAACAAATTTCTTTTTATTTCCATTAGTACCAGCTTCAAGAATCTGTTTACAATGACCCCATTCTATATCTGTTTTTCCTCTAGCTTGACTTTTTGGTGGAGAAGAATGTGGTCTACTAATATCACCAATGAACTACACAAAGACACAAATTATGTTTTAAGTTCAAATTCGCCAACCAAAAATTGAGATATCCATATTACATAAAAAAAAAAAAACATGTCAAATCAAAAATAGAGTAGGAATTTTAGAAAGAAACAAACACAAATCAAAAGACAAGATGAAAGCAAACAGGTGTATCAGTGATCTGTCCCTTCCTCACATTGATCCCTGCATTGATCTCACCCTGAGCATGCCTATTCCTCAGTTCAGTCACAATAGTAATTGGGTTCAAACCTGCATTCTCAGCCAATGAATTTGCGGGATTGATCTGTCCCTTCCTCACATTGATCTCATCTTGTTTGATTTGGTTGAAAATCGGATTTTTATAGATTTTGATAAAAAGATAATGATGAAATATAGTTGATAAAAATTGTAAGTCTTGCTATAAAATATGTGATTAAAATTATTGGTTGATTTTGACTTAAATTTTTATCAATTTTCAAAATTAAACCAAATATGAACTTTTCGTATCTAATAGTTGACAAACGCTCGGTTTCTTTACTAGATTCTCCAATATTAATTAAACATGGACAAAAATGTAGTCTCCAAATTAATGTATAAAATAGGATTTTTGCAGCTGATTATGAGAGAATATGTTGAAAGACAATCGCTAATTAGAAAATGATTGATAAAATCAATGATAATAATTAATGCTGCATTTATATATGCCCATAAATTGAAGGACTGTTGTCACCATCACAGTAGTGGTGGCCACTGAAAATATGAGCCGGCGAAATCTAACGAGCACCCGACACTAACGTGAAAAAGACACACTAGTAATATATTAGACCGTGTTTGATGTATATTATTGAGTGTAGAATGCATTTTAAATAGTGATTTGATTGAAAATAAAAAAAAAATGTGAATGTGTGGTTGAAAATGAATTTTTGTAAGTATCATGTGGATTAAATTGGGTGTTACACCCTGCAAAGGCTGATCAAATCAAACGCCCTGCTCCACTGTTGAATTTACTTATATTGAATTATTTGATCTAAAAATTTAATTTTATTAAAAATAAGAAATTTATTTATTTATAACAAATTTAACAATTTTTCTTTGATTCTGCTCAATTTAGCATATTAAACACATTCCAAACGTGGAGAAAACAGAATGTGCAAACACACTAGTCAAACAATTTGAAGTCACGTATTATTGTAAATGAAGCCTACTTAGCCCGGTTTGATAATCATTAAAATAAAATTTCTTTTTCCTCAAACTCGTTTTCGACCACATATTCTCACAATAAAATATTTTGTACGTAAATTCAAAAAAAAATTCCTACTTTTTTAATTACCCATTTTTCAAAAAATCACTATTTCAAAACTTATTTTTTGCGAAAACCCATTTTGACGATTGTCAAATAGGGGCTTAGAACAAGTGGAAATTGCAGCCCATTAAAAGCAACAAAAAGGGCAAAAACAGTAAAAACTGTAATCCTTAAGTTCTAACCAAGTCTAACCACTAGTTGCTGTTTAAATTTCTGGGTACTAATTTAACGGCAAACATAAGAAAACTAGGCGACAATTACAATTCTTGTTGAATATAAAAAAGAACATGACTTGCATATGAGGTGAAATAGATAAGTCCCTACTTCACAATCATTAAAATGAGATTTTTTTTTTTTTTTGGAAAAATGAGTTTTGAAATAGTGATTTTTTTTGGGTAATATGTTGATAAAAAGTGAGAAAAAAATATGGGTTTACGCCGAATATTTTATTGAAAATGAGTTCAAGAAAAAAAAGTCGTTTTAATGGCGGTCAAACGTGGGCTAAATTTGATAAATGCAGCAGTAGTTTATGAGATGGCAGAGAAATCGTATTTATATAAGGCCATTGAACACCTTCTCACAGGAGCAACTTCAAGCTTGTGTGCCCTTCTAAACAGCATTTTCACAGCCATTGGGCCTTCAGATTTTGAACCACCATTCATGGCTGCAGCCTGCAACTCATTCTCTCTAACTGCATGGATACTTCTGTGCCTGCACTTCTTTACATTTTCTTCTATAACTCCACAGGCCGAGGCTCGGGCATTCTTCGTTTTTGGTGATTCGCTTGTTGACAATGGAAACAATAACTACTTAGTCACCAGTGCTCGAGCAGACTCCCCCCCATATGGAATCGACTATCCAACTCGTCGCCCAACGGGCCGCTTCTCCAATGGCCTCAACATTCCAGATCTTATTGGTAGGGCTTTGAATACCAGTTCTTTTGGGTATCCATTTCATCTAAAAGTTTAAATCGACCTAAACTAAGAATCTTTACGTGTGTTTAATATCATGTTAAATCGCCTCGTCCAAAACTTTAAACTATAAGAGATTTACAATTTTATTTACTTCAACTTTTGTCTTCACCACGTCACTCACGTGAAATTTTTTTGTAAATAGGTGGTGTCGAGATGATTTTTGCTTATAATGATACCACATTGAATCACGATCTTATCTATTATAATACCAATATTGAGTCATGTAGTCTAAAAGTTTAAGCTGTTAGAGAGTGTGAACTCGGTTTGTTTACCCTTATGAATGCCAGTGTTTAATTACTTGGATAAATTATTTATAGAACCTGATACTGACACCGAATAATGTATGTTTTCAGGTGAGCAAATGGGGTTGGAACCAACGCTGCCATATTTAAGTACATTGCTCAATGGAGAAAACCTTCTTGCTGGGGCTAACTTTGCTTCTGCTGGCGTTGGAATCCTCAATGATACTGGAATTCAGTTTGTATGTTCATGTTTTTTAGCCTTAAGTTGAATAAGTTCGATACCGTTTGGGAAGAATTTATAAAAGGTTTAAATGTGTGGTTAAAAATGAAAATCGGTCTATAAATTTTGCTAAATGGAGGGAATTAATGATATCATCTTAACCAGTTTCTTCTACTTTGCAGCTGAACATTATTCGAATCGGGATACAATTAAATTACTTTCAACAATACCAGAGTCGAGTAAGTGGCCAAATTGGAGCTGAACAAACTCAAAGACTAGTTAATGATGCCCTTGTGCTCATAAGTCTTGGTGGCAATGATTTTGTCAACAACTACTATTTGGTACCCTATTCTGCAAGATCTCGACAATTTGCTCTCCCAGACTTTGTTAATTATCTCATAGTGGAGTATCGCAAGATTTTGCAGGTATGTTCTCTTGGTTCTTTACAAAATGGACACAGAATTTCGTGGTTCAACCTCAAATTGAAAGAGTTACGTCTATTCGTGACCCCACGTTTTCAATAAAAAGGAGATAAGAATGCGAGTTTTTTTTATCACCTCTCTCTTGAACGCAAAAAGACCCCGTAGTAAATTCTTCATTGTATTAAAATTATTAGGTCGATTTGCACTTGGGAAGATAAGTATGCAATATGGAACAAGATTATCTTAATCGCTGAAATAAATAAATATATATATAGATGAGTTGATGTTCATATGAAGAGACACAGGCAGAGTTGCTTTTCTATTGTTTCTTGCATGTTGTAGTAAAGTAGGATGTTATAAGAAGCTGGATAATAATCACAGTCATGAGCTACCGACAGGAAAAATCATGATTGGTAGGTAGAAAGGCAATATTTTGCTGATTTTTTCACATGATACATTAAGTTTTGGTAAGCTGCTATGAATTTATTATGAGATAGAATGGTACAGTAGCAGCAGCTAGTTGCAGAACTGATAAACCCCAAAAATGGTCATAAAGTGAAAACTATCTGATCCTTTCGTCCCTAAATTTACCTTGCCTTGTTTGTTACGAGTCAAAATTATATTTCACGAGGAAGTACAGTGGTTATTCTCGATATGAGGGTTGTCCACTCTCGTTACATGTTTGATCTACAATGAAGAAGAACATAGAGTGATCACCCCTCTCTCCCACTAAAAAAATGATCATACGTGACAACTAAGCAGGAGCGTGACAGTACTATGCACCCTTTATACTTGGCCCTAGTTTGATTTGGTTTAAAATTAGAGTTTTAGTATATTTAGGTAGAAATTAATGAAATGTATTGTTGAAAAGTCAATTAAAGTTGTAGTCCAATAATATGTACGATTTAAAATGGGTTTTAAAAAAATATTTTTAAAAAAATTGGGGCCAAACAGGACGGGACTTATAATCATCATGCACTCGTCAAGCTATTTTTATGATCATTCCAAAATTTAGGTGACACTAACACAAATCAAGTTTCACTCTGGCAGAACCTATATGACTTGGGAGCTAGAAGGGTCCTTGTGATGGGTACCGGGCCGATGGGTTGTGTTCCGGCCGAATTAGCCCAGAGGAGCAGAAATGGCGAATGCGCCGAGGAATTGCAGAGAGCTGCTGCAATGTATAACCCACAGCTAACTGCAATGCTGAGTAGTCTGAATAGTGATCTTGGAGCTAATGTTTTCATAGCTGCAAACACTTTCGAAATGCACATGAACTTTATTTCTGATCCTCAGACCTACGGTATGTTTAGCACCACAACTTTACTTCTATACTGCCTTTTCTCATTCAATAAGTCAGCAATAATAGAAATAGAGTGATACATGTTGGAATTAATTGAATTTAAGTGTATTAAATCATTAAATGTGATATTTAATGATGTGGGTCATTACAATTAATTTGGGTGAATTGGAAAAGTCTCCAATATAGACCTATAAGTTAATAAGACTTGTTTATATGGTAGGATGTAAGTACAAGTTATAACTTAATAAGTGACCTACAATTTAGCTAAATTTGGCTAGCCAAAGGCTAGCAAACTAGCCACCACTTGCGTCGCGCCCCGGCCCCGGCCCCGGCCCCGATCCAGGCCTCGGCACACGCACGTCGCTAAGTTCGCATTGGGCGCTTTAGAGACGCACTTTGCACTTCGCATTCGCACGTACGCATGGTGCACCAGTTCATGAAATGTCACACACATATTCAATGAGACACTTTAATCTCTATAAATAGAGATCTCCAGATTCGTTTTTGAATACACAAAATCAATTAAAATACTCTTGATTTCTGAATTCTCTCTCTCTCCATATTCTGCAAAAATTCCTTTCGTTCGAGTACGATCATTCTTTGGTTTGACCGACAAGGTTGGTATTGTACAATATTGACTTTGGAATGAGCGTTGTATCTTGGGAGACAGACGTCCATAATCTCGTTTGCACTTCATTGGAGGGCGAAATTTGTCTTAAAGAGATTTGTTTTGGCATGCCTGGCTTCATCTACAGCATTTCATTTTCTGTTCTTTTATTCTTTCTTTTGATTGTGATAGTCGAATTTTCAACAACAATACATACATATACATATATATATACACACACACACACACACACACACTATATATATATATATGGTCACAGTTCAAAAATTTTAGAGGTCACATTTAATTCGTTGGTCACATATCAAAATTTATAGGATACACGGTTACAAATTTCCAAAGTAATTGGTCACGGATTTTTTACGGTCACAGATTATATAATTTTTAGGTCACAGATAAAAAAAATAGTTAATTTCATTGGTCACATATTTTCAAATTTGTTGGTCACAGATTATTTTTCAGTCACACATTGTCAAATTTTTAGGTTATATATAACCAAATACTTGGTCACATACCACTAGCACTACTTCAGCCACCATTACCACACAAAACACCGCCACCACCCACAGCCACCAAACAATGCACCCCCACCACCCCAACATAACAGTCTCCACCATCGACACAACCACTGGCAGAAACCATCACGACCACCAGGACCA